CAAACACCAGCCGCTAACCGGACCGTCTTCTCGTTCCCTACTCTGATCGCGATACTGAAATTATCCGGAATGGATTTTTGAATTCCGATTCCCAAACTTCTGCTCTAAATTTATCGTTTTTCTTGAAGTAGTTTGTTCAATTCAACTAAAATCGTGTAAAATAGTATTCATTATTCGCATGATCAAAAGAGTGTGTTTGGCATGAATTTTCGGGGCAAGAATTGATTTTTAAATAGTGATATGATGGGAAATATATGATTGAAAAAGAAGAAAAAAGTATTGATGTGATGAAAAATATTATTTTATTAAAGAATATGTAGTTAAAAATGAAAATTGATTTACTGTAGAAAATGAAAATCTGTACCAAACAGGCCGTTTGTTTGGTAGAGATTTTTGGAGGAAAAATTGATTTTTAAATAGTGATATGGTGGGAAATGTGTGGTTGACAAAGAAAAAAAAATATTGATGTGATGTAAAATATTATTTTAATTGAAAAANTTTGAATAGGGATATAATGGGAAATGTGTGGTTGAAAAAGAAGAAAAAATTATTGATGTGATGGAAAATATTATTTTATTGAAAAATGTGTGGTTGAAAATGAGAATTGATTTACTGTAGAATTTGAAAATCAAAAACAAACAGGCCTTTTAGTATTGACAATTGAATTTTTCTTTGAATAAAAATAATAGAGATATGAAAAAGATGTATGAAAAATATGAGGCTACTAAAGATCTAATTATTGAAATTAAGCACGTGTTTGAACCCCCTTTTTATCAAATGTTCATTTTTTTAAAATTCATTTTTAACCACACATTTTTCAATAAAATAATATTACACGTAAATCAAAAAAAATTTCTTCATTTTAAACCATACATTAGCATAAAATCAATATTCAAAAAAATATATTTTCTCTTAAAATGTGTTCAAACAAGGGCTAAAACTATAAGGGTGCGTTTGATTGTAAGGGTGAAAAATGGGTGGAAAGAAAATGATTTGTAGGGAAAATAAT